TGAAAGCGTCTAAATGCAGTTCAGAGAGTTTTTACAAGAATGTTATTTCCTCTTTCTGGATCCAGTATCTCTTATGCAGAGGGATTTCAGTTAGGGAAAATTAATTTTATGTGGATGAGAAGACTCGAAGCCAGCCTCTACTTCTTGTTTTGTGATAACTTTAGGACTAATCTCCCACGAATTAAAGCTCTCAATCCAGCAGATTGACATTATGCCACTCTTAATTGCCCATGATCACTTCACCACCTCTAAGTTCCTCATCTGACCGTTCTCGTTTTTTTGCCTCCAAATATGCCTTCATCTGGAATAATCTTCCACTCGAAGTTAGGTTGCAACCTAAATTAGTGGTTTTCATGTCCAAATTACGTAATCATTTAAGTTCGGACGATATATTGCCCTTATTGTCAGTTTCCTCCTCAAACACGGAACTTTTTGATTTTGAAATGGGTCCTCTTGTTGTTTGAGACGATTCCGATCCCATTGATTTCGTTTCTACACATGCTTATGTTATCCTCTACAAAGTCAAGCATCACCGCCCTTTTTTGCCCCCTCCTCTTTAAAACCATCCTCGTGAAATGTTTACGACCTTCATGAGTTCCTCTGCTTTGCAGACCTGATCATGATTTCCCCGGTCAAACACGAAGCTTCATGCTCAGACGATGGTCTTCGAGGACACTGTTGATGGTTGAAGTGATTTCTTCTGTTTTCTCCCACTTGTCGGCGGACCTTGCAGTCCGCAAGGCTGCATCTCCGGCATTTCGGTGATGATCACTTCGTCTCTACCATCCTCTCTTCGTTTCGAACCTAAGCATACTAATTATGTCAGCAATGAGCTCCCCTTTCTCGCCTTCCTGATGTTTGATTCTGTGTTCAGTCGTATGGTGATACGGGGTGAGGATTAGCCCTTTCTTTTATGTGCTTCCTCACACGACAAGGAGCGTGTCGAACACCCTCACGTTCCCGTCAAATGCACGGCCCTATCTAACCGTATCGCATCATTCCTATAAGTAGATCCTAAGCAAAACTTCACAGGCTATAGTATCAACTGTGGTACTTCAGGTAGTTTTGAGTGTTTTACTGTGTTTCAATTCACAAAGAAACTAACACTGACGAAAAGCAACCCTAATAATGGGCAACTTAGTACTGGCTTAAATTGGTATGCATTGTAAATGTCGTCGGAGTCCTGGATCACATTGACGACGTTTGCGGCCT